GATTGTGTAGCCTAGTGAACCAAACTGAGTGACCATTTTGAAGGCTCAGGACACCTTTGCAGGTGTTTTGAGTTGACTAGCTGAGTGGCATATCACCATATTCTAATTTATTGAGATAGTGAATTGGTGGGTTTTTGTTAAATGTGGGCCAAAATCATCACAATTAAAAGACCCAACAGCTTAAACTACTTCAGTCTGTGTGTACTGAACTTATATAATACACGAGTTTCACTATTTGAGTTGAATTACTGAAATAAATGGACTTTTCCACGATATTCTAATTTATTGAGCTGCACCTGTATATTTAATCTACAAATATTGAAATTGGAAAACAAATAATTGTTACAATACATTTCCTCTTGCTTCTGTTGCTCAAAGCACAGTCAGCACTTTCGATGAAGTATTTATTCTGCTGGTGAGAGTGACAGGCGCTCTGCTTTTAACAAGTGTATTTCAGCAATATTTTGCACCTCACATTTTGCATGCAACAACATTTTGCTCGCCTCCACCAGTCAAATGTTACTACTAGCTGAAATCTGTGATCAAGATGTGCTTCAGATATATGTCAGCAACCTTGATACTCAGTAAAACTAACTTGACCTTTTAAACTCCTGTAATCTATCATTACACACATGCCATTTCTAATTTCACCAGCACTAAAAGCTAATTTCACTGATCTCAACACAACACTGTTATGAATTTTAATTGCATTAACATAAACATTACAGCTTTTCCAAACGCTCCACTGATGAACCACATGCCCAAGCATCTCCCTGAGCTCCACCCATATGCTGACAGCCTTTTTACAGTCAAGTTGTACAAAGAGAATTAGAAAGCCAAAGATCTCAGACGACCACACTTTAATCAACAGTAGGCCGAGTCATCGAGCAAGCTTTCGAACCATTCTGAATTCCCGTCTGCTGTGCATCTCACACGCCTGTGCACATGAACCATAACCCACTACCTGCTAAATCAAAACAGCCACCAAAACCTACACTTCCCCGTGCTGCCTCTGGCTCCTAACACTGCCTGCATAGGGAAGCGTGCCAGCAGTGAGTGGGCTCTACCACAAATGTGACTGAGGGGGAGCGTAGTATCATTGTGTGGATGTCTCGCTCTACAAGGAGGGAGAGGAGCTCAGGGTGGAGCTGGGGGTGGGGGTGGGGTAACTGAGGTGTTGGGGGATTTCCTCTGATTATTCACGGATAATAAACAATGCAAGGTTTTTTCATAACTGGGCTCACCTCCGATAAAACTTCAAAAAAAACCAAAACATTTTGCTAACGAGAATGATCAGTCAACACACATATGTCATGTGTGGGAAGCATCAGCCTGCAGGCTGTGATTTGCAGCAAACCTGAGCCAGATTTCTACCACAAGCTTGCCCAATAATACACCTGGGTTAAAAAACACACAAGACAGCTCCAGTACGTCAGCAATGACCACTGGTTACAGTAACAAGTTGTTTTTGGTTTGTTTCCGATAATGGAGGGGGTTAACATCTGCCTCTCGGCTCCACAGACTTTTTGGCCATTACTAGAGAAACAATTGGGAATCCCCTTCTTTTTCTTCTTAACTCAAGCCACCCCCATTGGTTTGCTGTGACTGGTTACTGGGTACAAGAGGGGTCAATACCAGTCCTCTCTCAGACATAACAGAGGGGAGAATGTTTGAAAAATCTTGTTATCTGATGGTTGAAAGATCAGAGCACCCCAGATTTTCCTCTTGTTATATGTTAGGATCCAAACAGAAAAGAAAAAGGTTCTCTGAACTCTTGAACAATAGTACCAGCAACCTGCTCCACCCACTGCCTGAACACACGTCCCGGACTCTCTAATGCAAACATGCCGCCATAATCCCTGGCTATCACCTGACTCATCTACCAGCCAAGGAAGAGGTGGAAACCAAACAAACAACAAGAGACAAAAGGGCCACTTTCACCTTGATCAGCCAGGCAGGTTGGCAGACTCCTCTGCGGGGAGGAGAGCAGAGAAAAGCAGAGATTTAATGTCAAAGACATGAAAGCTGTCTACAACAGACAGGGAAGATATAGGAGACTACACCTGAGACAAAGACAGAGGCTCAAAGAGGACAAAACAAGTCTTAGATCAGAAAAACTACAGAGACAGGAGAAGAGGAAGAGACAGTAAGAAGGCATCTCTGTCACCGTGCTACTCTCACGCATGTTTTAAGCAAACCTTAAAATTAGGCAAAAACTACAAAAGAATTTCTAAGCACTGGGTGGAAATGAATTAATGTCAGAAAAACCGAAGGATCCAACTAAGAAAGGGATTTTTTTTTTATTATTATCAAGACTTCTCATTTTATAAACTAAAAGTGTCTTATGGAGAAAAGGCATTGAAAAAAAGTTGATGTGTAACAGTCTGGCCCTCAACTCATTAAGTGACTGGACCTCCCGGAATTTGAGCTGAATACCCCAGATACAGGACATACTGTACAGTGTCACGTGTTGCATGGTAGTGGGACACCGCTAACGTTTACTGACTTACCCCGTGGAAGCAACGTGTCACTGCACAGTGCAAATATACAACCTCTGATAGCAGCATTTATAAGCATTGTGATATTATAACTTTAAATTCAGTTAAGAACTTTTGGACCTGGCCTTCTCAAAAACAAATCAATGATATGGAAGCGAGTGTGAGATGTAACCAGTCGCCCTCACCATGGTGACAAAATGAGAGAGTGTGTTAGACAGACAGGTAGGCAGACAGAAGGCTATTAATAGCTCCGCTGCACAGGTGACTCTCATGTGGGTCCTCCGTCCTAACACGCGGTTGTCTCTTTGTCTACTTCCTCTCTGCTACTCTGCAGACAGCGCATTTAGACTGCCGCATGCCGCTGGCCCACCCCCACCCCCCCCACACACAGCCACAACTGTAATTTGCCACGAGTGCACAGAGTGCCAAACCTACTGAAGAGATGTGTGTATATTAAAACACCTTTTGTAAAAATGAGGCCTCATTGTGGCTCTGGATTTGACCTGATTTTGTAAATGACCTCAGTTATCAGCTCTCTTCACCTCTTCCTCTTCAATCCTGACTTTACATCCCATCTGCAGCTTGCCCTCATGCTCTTATTCTCTTCATGCCTCCTCACACTCTATCTGCCCATCATCTCCTCTTCTCTTTCTCCTAGATTTGTTCACTTGTTCTGATAGCCGCCACTACTGTCGTTCATCTTATTATCTGGGAGGGTGGACCCCTGCCTCATGTGGCTGTGTAAATAAAACAGACCTGAGGGGACAGATGCTACTCTTCTTCTGTCACTTCTGGAAAACGACAGGGCCCATAAATGACAAGAAAACCAAAAAAGACAACAACAAAACAAACAAAAAAAAAGCATGGCTGCCACTGTACTTCCTACTACTAGCTGCTGGTGATGTTTGGCATGACTAAGAAATGTGTGTGAGTGATAATGTGCTACTGTAATTCTCAGTGCTGACGTTACCGTAATCGTCAATCACTGAAGCAGAGGAGCACGTGATTATGTTGTTCCCTATATATCAAGAGCGAAGACATGATACTGTCACTGTGTGTGTCTGTGTGTAGACTTACCCTCATTTGGTATTGCAGCTGGGTACATCTCTTTCAGCAGGTCACTAAGTGTGTGCGCGTTGCCTTCGGGTGAAACGGGGCGAAACTGTTTCTGGATAAATGGCCTGTCGCTCATGGTCTGTAAAAAATTAGAGCACGGCAAATTAACAAGCAGCAACACAAATATACAAAATAAGGCCTTTGCAAATGGCACAATGATGCTTTAGTGTTCAGATAAGAAGCTCAGGACAATATTATCACCATCTTCCAAAGCACACATCTGTTTCAAAGGGATTATTAATTCAAGCATTTTATGATCTCCCACCTCTACAGACACTGAAGTGTTTTAAGATTGACATCAATTCACGGAACTGCTGGAAAATACAGGGGGAATTTTTAAGTGACAAAGAGTTCACAGGGTCAAGAGAGGGAGAAGCACCGACACCCATTTGCATGCAAAATCTGTGAATGGACGGTGTGTTGGCGTGAGCTGGGAATGTGGTGCTTTGATGCTGCTCAGATATTTAGAAATCTGCAACTTTTCAGCAGATGTTACAAGTGACGCTGACATGTTTTCCTGATCAGAAACAGCCTGGAAATCATTAACTGCTGCTTTAGCATCCAGTTTACTTGGAAGAAAGGTCAGCTGCTACAATAAAAGTGCCTCGGCTCACATACAAGGTCTCAGATGGACAAAAATCACAATATTAAACCTGACATTCACTATGGCTTCCTGAAAAAGAAAGGCTCTCTTCTATTTCATCGCTCCACAGAGAGGTTGAAGTCACGGTGATGTTCAAGAGTTTTACTCAAGGACACCTCTGCAAAGTGGATGTGCTGTTTTGCCCAGTTTAACTGCAAAAGAAACCATACTTTATTGGTTTTGCGGAAAAGACAACTACGTCTACAGTCTTGCTGGGAACATGCAACGCAGAGATTAATCATATCCACATTTTATTATCATCCTTCTTGGGGAAAAAAAGTGTTTCATCTTCCCTCTCCTACACTGTGTCTGATTCTTCTACAGTCAGAGCCAAACAGTTGCAACAACGTGACCCTGGCCTGTGATTTCCGCACTGTTAGCTATTTATCATGTAGAGGTTTCTTGCTGACTACTATTCAAATCACTCTGGGTAAGAGCTTCCACTAAATGCCTCAAATGTAAACTCAGTAAGTCAGGATGGGACAGCTAAACAAATGACATATGCAGCAAATATCCTCATGACTTTTCAGTGGTAATTGACTTTGTGGCTACAACATTCCAGGAGTGAGAGATGCGGGAAGAGCAGTGGGAAATTACCAGCAGACACCAGACAAACATCTGTAGTAGTAAACTCTGGTCCCCTGGTAATGAACTTTGACTCAAGAGTGAGAGGACAGAGGGTGTCACAGGCTGTAGACACTGGAATGCCCTGTAAGGCAAATCTGAGATTTTGGGCCATAGATATAGAAATAAAATGGACACACTTTGATCATTAATAACTATTTTAAAGGTCAAGTTAAATACACATACTTCCTTTTCCTGTACTACTAAAGAATAATTAGAATGAAAATGTAACTGGTTTTATGAGATACCATTACTGATATTCCCGCAACTGCAGAATTTTCTGTTGGGCACACCTACCCCCATAATCCACTGGAACCAAACAGACAATATCATCAAATACTGCCAATATAACACCAGCTGAACCAAATGAAACTGTTACCAGACAGCAGAGCGGCACCCAGCAGAAAGTTTGTGAATGCAACCTGCATGAACAGAAAATGATCCTGCTCGTACTCCGACCATGGATTGTAAAGTGAGGCGTTCTGAAATTCAAGTGACACTGAATCTTTTTCATGTATCATAAATGCTTAACACCTTCTATACATCAATTCCATTCCTTCTGAAGGAATCATTACACAGTGTGTAAAGTAATATCCACCAAACTGCTTATCTGTTTGACACACTTTATGTAGTTCTATAACCTCCTGTAAATCCTGAATCTGATTCAGGTGTGTCAGCAACATACCTGTGGTTTTTGTAGCCAGAGGTTCTAGTTAGCAAGTGACCCGTGTCCTCAGGCCAGGAGAGAAGGCGCTGAGTGTTGCCATCAAACAGCAGGCTTTCTATTTTCTGAGGACCTCAAATCAGTAGATCTCAGTTAAGTTCCATAATGACTCAAGAGCTTGCACATACTCATACCAGCTAACTGTACAATTTTCTTGTTTCTTTCACTAAAAATGTACCAATGGAATCAATTAAGAAGTAGTGTTTGACTGCGGTAAAAACTCAGATGCTTTAAATGTGACGTGGTCATGATGTGGGCAGTTAAGATCAATATCACAATATTAATAGCATATGGTACCACAATAATTAATCCAAACAAGTGAAAATGTAAGAAATATAACATTTGAGGATTTGCAGCTTTTCTTTGCCTGATATCATTATAAGCTCAAACCATTTGGGCTTTATTAGCTGTTGCTCAGACACACCCCTTAAACACTTTTTTATAGGTTATGAAATTAATAAAACAATTACTATCAAATTATTCAAGCATGAAAAAATTATTTGTTGTAGTTCTAACAAGATTATTTTTACAATACTGATGTACTGACATATAAACTAATCTAACTGATGTTCAACACAAAAACTCAGCTCACAGGTATGAAACAAAACACAACAAAGTTATTATTCTTAAATTACAGTTTTCTTTGAATCATTAATTTGACTAAGCGAGTTTTGTACATTTTGTAAATTATTAAATTATTTAATCACATCATTACAATTTGGTTCCAGTGAATTACAGGCCATCCCTGACTGTTAGAACCAGTATTAAGGCGCAGTGGGATTCAAACTCTCACAACAGTTAATACCTCGCTCTACCTCAGCAGCAACAGACAGTGGGAGAACCTGTGGGCTGGGATGGAAACGTGGAACAGGCAGATACCCAACCTGAGGTGTCAAACAGAGAGTCTGATACACAATAGAACCTAATCATGGAGCTGTGAAAAGGGAACCGCCGAGGACGGGGATCGAGTAGCCGAACTGTAACTACACACCACAGAGCCAGGCGTCAATCAGCAAGAGGAAGGTGGCAGCGGAGGTGTGAAGCTGGTGCTCAGGTTACACAGAAAGACTGAGTCACAGAGAGGAAGCGTGGCGTTTCGTGTGGGATGATCACAGGAGCCAGAGCAGGGAGAGTGCACTCCGTGACAGCTACTTCATTGCATTTTTAAATAGCCAGCCATAAATAATTGAGCCAGTCACCATACAAAGAAGGGGCTATTGATCCCTAGAGAGAGAGAAGCGTGATACTGCTCGGATGAAGACACTTTCTTTTCAGTTGGCGTGACACCTTAGCTGGCACGGTGGCACATGGCCACACGAAGAGAGTGAGGTGTCATTAAGCTTAAGGTGAAAAAAGATGGCTCGTGCTTGCTGAGTGAAAAGAGCAGCGGAACCCTAGACGTCACCTAATTGATGAAGGGGATCCAATCCACCTAATTGGCGAAAAAACAATGGGTGGACGGATGGGGGTGACAGCGCCGTCAATCAATAGGAGTTTCCGCAACAGGAGGGTGGGGAGGGGGCCTGGGGGTTCAGAGAAAGCACTGAACTCTGAGAACATCCATTCGTAAATTAAAACCCAAGCCTCATTTTTAGCAGTCTTCATTTTCTCAGAACTTGAAACACACACCTGTGGAGGTGAAACTCCATCAAGGTTCACTGAATTGAATTCTAAATTATTTATTCATGCAGTGTTGCATGCTAGCTTGACCTGGTGTGTTTCACCATCCAGGCATTTTAGCGCTGAACCAAATTTCTCAGCTCCACTGCGTTAGCACAAGGATTTGCATTCATCTGTTCTTCAAAATGTAACAAACGCAAGCATCACTAACTCTTTTGTTTTTCTGGCCTTCCTAAAACCAGAAGGCTTGGTTACACGGTGCTCGGCTCGCCGAGCATGCTTTGGCACAATCAGCTTCATGAGAAGGTTTTAAATGAACAATTGCAAAGCAGGTGAGTGAAACTGTGCAAGTGCAGTTTGCTTTCAGTGCCTTGCAGATATATCACAGTTTCTGATGTTTTCATTAATGTAGTTATTTAGCCATACTGATAACTTCGGTTTAATCTGCTTCCACCTCAACACTCAGTACAACTTTCTGCCATAAAACCTGACAGTGTATTCTGAATTTTTATTGTTGTGAATAGCGCAAACAATTCACCTCTGCTGTATATACTGTTGATAGAAGTTTCAATCTCAAAGATGTATATCTCAAAACTGACCAACTAACACCACGACTATCTGCATAACTTGACAACACTGAAGGTAAGGTAGAACATGGTTTTTATACAATTTGTGTAATTCAGACAGTAATTATCAAGGAAAATCTCCATCTGACTCTGAATGATGCTGTCCAGATCAGCCATGTCTGTCAACGCCACACCAAGAAAATCTAAACATTGTTAGCCTTGTAGCCGCTTGGCAGTAGTGCCTGATTACAAAACACTGTAACTGACAGTCACGGTTTTGCCAGAAAGCATTACTGTAAATGTGGCAACATTCCACCCCAGCACAACAGGCATATCACCTGTTGCCTTTGGCATGATTACGCACAACTGTTTCCAGCATTCCCATGTTTTGTAATTGTCTGCACAGTCACCACCTCCCCCTCGTCTCAGTCAGCCATCGCAAGATATCTGCAAGGCAATAAATCCACATTCTTTGAAGCAGGCGGCTTTGCCAACACCACAATACAGATGCGGGGGGAGGTGGACTGCCTGCTCTTGCATTGGCAGCTTGTGAGTAAGCACTGAGTCACACAGTGGGAACGGAGAGGTGTACCTGTAGAGCAACAATGTAAGCGCTTAATTTTCACTTTCCTTGCAGCGAGACTGTCGGCACCCTCTGGCTCTCTGAATCTCAGCGCGGCGTCACTGCTGGAACAGGGAGACACACCAGCAGCCAACCAAGTCCAACACCGATGCACACAAACGCACACAATAACACCGAGTGGAAGTGCAATTTCCTGACAAACCTTGCAACGAGGGTTGCATGAGCACATGCACTCTAGGAGCACATAAGCAAAGATGTATTGTAACTGTCAACAAAATATTCACAGAATTAAAAAAAGACTATCCACATATAAACTCTTAAGTTTAGCATTTTGTTTTGTTGTAAAAGTTAATCAAAGGACTTAAAAGTAACAATGGCCAAAAAAGGCTCATTGATACTTTTAATACTGGATATAAAAAAAATGAATTAATATCTAATAATAACTGCAAGATAAAAAAGGTGGTTCAACTATTTTTAACCTTCAGGACATAAGGCGCGCGCACACACACACACACACACACACACACACACACACACACACAAATGTGTCACCCATGCGCAAGCGGTGTCTTCGTCTCCATACGGAGTGCAGGCCAGACGGAAATGAGTCCTCTGTTATTTGGACTGAATGTTGTCATTAATTCTGTCTGCATCAAACACTGCACATGTTATTTACACTGAAGACCACAATCTGGCTTTGAAGGATTCTGAGCATGCGTGTGTGCGTACATCTGTGTGTTTGTGTGGGAAGGGGGGAATCTTTCCTCTGTGTAAGTCAGTCGCCCCCAGTGACTTCTGAGGGCCAAACAGCTTTGTTCTTCAGCGTTTCTGTGTCTATTTCCATCTCGACTTTCTTTTTCGTCAAGCTAAGTGTCTCTGCCGGGTTTTGTCGTATCTTGTTTGGTCTTGTCATAACAGCTACAGCAAAACAAAACACTGTGTTGTCTTGTTAGCAATAACAAAGGCTCTACAAAATTCTTAAACAATGTAAAACTCTTCATAGGGCTTGATTTCAGGTGTTGTGTTTGTTTTTCTTGATGGGAACTCTGATTAAGTGATGAATCCAGTGGTTTATCACAACCTTTGTTCTTGGTTTCAGCCATTCTTCTTATCACTAATATTAAGAATGTAATCACCAAGATACTCAGTGATGTCTCAAAAAGCAAATGTGAGACAATCAGACAGATGGCCAGGCCAAACCAAACAAAACAAAGCCCTGGACCAGACTGATTTCCTGGTCCAAACCTGACAACCCTGCTCGCCATGGCTGTGTGTACAAAGACGGATTATCACTGGCATTCTGCTCACTTTCAGTTTAGCTCACAATACAACGCTTTAATCTTTACTTAATCTACAGTCTTAACTGACTGAAACAATGTACTAAACTACAAAAGTAATACCCAAAATTAGAGTGATCCTTTCACTGATGCCAAAGTACAAAACGTTGAGTCATACAAGTCCACAAACATCATGAAGAGCTTTTGGACAGTGAAAGTAGGTTCAAAGTGCCATAGAAAACTGCTATTATGAGTTTTTTATTTTCAAGATCACCATAAACACAGTGAGTTCCTACTCTTGTCAAGATTTTGCAGGCCTCCTGTGGTTGTGAATATTTAGCAATTTGTAAGAAGAAAACCACATCACCTGCAAAACAACCTAGACTTTTCAGTGATGCTTTCTCTCTCTACTATGTTTAGAAATCATGCAGCAAGGCTGTAACACACTTCGATGAGCCAGTTGTCATGAAAAAACTCATAAATGATGGTGAAAACATTCGATTTGGTAATGAAAAATGCCCCAAACTAAAGCGGTCTGGGTTTCTTCTACCCACCAGCACCAACTTGGTTTTATGGTCTGAATGTGGGCAGTGACGGTCGAACTGCGTGTTTCAGCCTGGAACTTTAAAGGCTTGTGTTTTATTACTGAACACAAGAATGTTTTTGTTGAAGTGTAAAATGGTTACTTTATACGCCGAAAAGCATTTATGAGCTTTTTAAACGTCATGCAAAACATTCAGCGTTGACAGTGACTGGCAGCCGTCCCTCCACCCGTGCTGTTGCACAAACTGTAAACGCAGCCACATGAGAAGCCCTACGGTTCTCACTACAAATTTAACACACTCAAATATAAATCATCGCAGTGGGAAATCACCAGCAGCCACAGCAGATATGATGACGGAAAGATCTGCTTGGTAGGAAAGTTCACCGTATCAGCTAACCATTTCGCTGAAGTCCTGTTTTGTTCTTAACATGTAGAAATCTGTTTCATAACACAACACTCCTCACTGCCATTTAAAGCCAGATCTATTTTCTGCTCTGTTTGCAGTTACACTTTCTTACAATATTTTTCCTAGCATGACTTGACAGGCAAGTTTTAATTCCCTTACAGGACTTGGGGACAGTGTGGGGGCCTTTCTGCTGGCTGTGATTTGAGATCAAGGCTAAACACATGTACATTCAGCCACAAGACTCTAAGCAGGCTGTCAACATGTTTTTGTTGCATGGATCCAGATGTGTTCCAAATCTTTATTTACTTGGCTGGATTGGATAAAACCCTTCAACATCCAGTACGATTAAAAAGAATTTAAATGTTTAAATTATTCCTCCACGATGCCAAGGTCTATTTAAAAGGAAATTTCTTTAGTTATTCTGTGCAATTGCTGATCTGTTCCAAATGCTAGAAGTCAAACTGATTCTCCACATTTGCCCAGCCTTTCCTGATCTGCATAGAAAGCTCCAACACTTGCACCAAAGCGTGGCACCTTTCCCCCGCTGTCTGGCTCACATGCTAATGTTTTCCAGGCATAGATCAGCCGCTTATTCATCCTCTCTTTTTCCCCCTCAAAGGAAATTTTCACCTGAGTCAGGATAAAGCTGTAGAGGCTTGGTGGAAACGCCCAACCTGAGGCCACTTGTCTGCCTACGCTTACTGATCCCTGAGGATCAGTAAGTGTTGGCTCACCCAACTTCAGTAGAATTGCACACAATTAGAGGAGAGTCATAGTTGTATTAAATTCACGGAACAAATTAATAACATTCAAAAGCCATGCTGAAAAAACAGGATGCCAGACGTTTCTCAATGACATTGTTTTGTTCCTTGCCTATAAGATTCAGAGGCTGATTATTTGATCAGATTTCACGAGGACAATAGCAGCCGCACAACACTCAACACATGCAAATATACATAATGTTTTTCATGATCTTTCATTTAAACATTCAGTGAAAACTACAAGAATAGCACCAAACAGCACAAGTCTGACTGGAGAGTGAACTAGTTTAATACACAGACTACCTCAGAAAAAGAGGGGAACCTCAACCTCATCTCAGACACTTCTTCATGATGTTTGGAGGCAGTTATTATGTCAGGTATAAATGTACTGCAGGTTTTTTGATGGGGTGCCAACCCAGATAAAACAAGAGAATGTCACTGGTATTTGAGTGATCAGTATGTCAAGAGAAGGTCCCAGACTCTTCACTGGAACAACTTGGAAGGCAGACAGGTGAAGTGTGTCAGGGGGAGGAGGCAAAATGTTCCCAGTGTGGGTCTTAAGCTGATCAGAAACGACTGCATATTTAAGGAATCACTTTCATCACTTTTTATTTTCCAGCTGTGTATTTTGAATACAACAAGACTTGTGATAATGGCTGGTGGTTGGTAACCTGTAGAGTGAATAGCTTCTCGGAGCCGATGTGTGCTTTCAGGTGATGTCCCTGTTACACAGCCATCTGGCGCCATCTGCTGGGCTATGGTCAAACTACAGCTTTATTCTCAAGACTCCAGCGATGTCTACACGTGCATCTATAGTCAGTCTAAAAAATATGTTATAAAGGCAATTGTGTGATACCTGATATATCCTGAAGGGGATGTATCTGAATCCTCCCTCCTCAGTGGAATATTCCATCAGCTTCCTGTTTATGGCCCAGAACTGGTCAAACTTATCTGTGACAACACAGAGCAGCAATTGTAAAATATCCTGTTGATAAGTCAGTCTGACTTACATCACCTCATCATTCATCTCCAGCATGCACCAAGTCACTAATATAAATGCACAAAAATATGACTTCTGAGCCAGTTTTTGTTGAAGTCATATATTTTTTATGATTAAGGGAAAGTATTTAACAGTGTATAGATTATTTTTCTTTAAAAAAAAATCATTATAATCACAGTGTTTCTATGTTATTCTGAACTACAGTGGTGATTTCATCATTAAAAATGATTCCACCCTGCACTTGCAGGTTTCAAACCCCTACCTCCCCTCTCCTCTCGCTTTCACATGAACCTTACGAAAACATTCTGCTCTCTCTCCCGGAGGAAAGTTTGAACCATCTCTCTTTCTCTCTCTCTGTTTCTGGTCTCTTTTGGATGTGAAAGTTTTGCTTCAGATGAGGTTTCATCTCTCACTTTCATGTCTATTAAGTGAGGCCAACTCCTTGTTTTTGTTCACAAGTTCGTAAGTTTCTGTGTTTAAGAGTTTCAGGAAAAACAACATGAACCACACCCTGAACTTTCCAAAACTCTACAGTGCATCTTATTAATCTGTCTCCTAAATGAACATTTTAGCTTCTGATCTTGTATTAAGATTCAACATTTCTCTCTCCAACTTTCAGGGGACAGTTCAAGAGAGAGAAGCAGCTGAAATTCCAGTGGGTTAGAAAACAAGCACAGCACACAATTTGGTGATATGTACTAATGAGCTTGCTTTCTGACCAACTAGAGCAGAAATAATGTCAACAAATTGTCAAATATTTGGAGCTTCTCACATGTGAGGACCGGGCCCAGAAGGCAGCTACATCACCGGTGGTCAAAGTGTTTATGGCTGTCTTGTTTAACTAAACGTCCCGCAGTGATATTAGGAATCTAAAGAAGAGCACAAGTGCCACACAAACCCCAAACTCACACTAGGAATCCCTCCTATCTGCTCCAGCTCTTATTCCCACACCACAAGCTTCTAATTCACCAGCACCACCGCCCCCACTTCACCTACGCAAAGCACTGCAATCACAAGCAGCAGCCATTAGGAAATCAACCTGTCTGGCCAGATGGGTGGAAACGGAAAGGGAAGCTGGTGGGTGTTTGGTGGGAGAGCTTTTGGAAGTGGTGGCTTCAAAGACTGCTATCAGACTAAGAGATTTGTACGTGTGTGTGTGTGTGTGTGTGTGTGTGTGTTCAGAAACATCTGTGAACCTATCTGGATACATTCTTTGTGGCTGTGAAAACACCACTTCTACAAATGCTAACAATTATAAAAATGTGTGACAGAACATAATTCATGAATAAGTGCTTACAGTACATGCAAGCATGTATGAATGTCTGAATGTGTGTGTAGGTGTGTGAGCAGGGAGACAACATGTAGGCATCTGAGTGTTAATGAGTGAATGTATGACTGTATGATTGTGTGTCACTTCCCCAACAGGTGTTTGTGGTCTGTCTTTTTTGAAGTGTGTGCATGTGTCTGTTTGCCCTCCTCATTATTTAACAAGCTTGTTCACAGCTCTCACCGTTCTGCAGGCCCATCCACAGCTGTTTGTGGTCTTTCTTCTGCATGTCGTTGATGACTTGGCTCTTGTGCTTGAGGGCATCAGCCTCCTTGATGCTGGACATGAAGTGAGCCTCGATGACAGAGTTAGACGGGCAGTGGAGCAGGTCAAGATCTGGAAAGTTCTGACACATTCACAAGACAATCACTTTATTCAAAGCTATGCTGTAGTATTTTGGTCACTACGGGACAGAAGAACTCCACAATGCACATGACATTAAACATTTTTTTATTTAAACAGAGAAACATTATCATACATTGGGAATCATGCTCATGTCCACCTGACAACACAAATCACACTAATTCACTCTAATCACTCTGGCTCTGCTTTTGTCTCCACCAACCAGAAAAAATATGACTCTTTAACTGCTAAGATTTCCAATTTCTTTGCCAGCTGGTCTCTAACTTGATCTGTCTGTTATTCGGTGCTGAGCAGTCACTGTACAGTAGGTTTATTAGTGCCTGTGTGCTGAAAACAGGTGGCTGCTGCTGCCGCTGGAGACAGGGTTAATGAGAGGACTAAGACCAAACCAAAGAGCAAATGTACCATAAAACTATTCATTAAAAAAGGCTAAAATGTGCCATAGAGCTGCAGAATCTGTGGTCATTTTATGTCGCTTTCCTCCCAGTTTACATCACATGCATCATTTAGTCCACTGCTTATACTCAGAATATTCACAAGTGGTGCTTTACAATATTTTTTATGTAAAATCTACTCAGAATTGACTGATAATATAAAGTGAAATATATTATTATGGATATTACACATGCACACACACACACACACATATGATGGCTCTTACCTTAAAGTGCACAGTGATGGTCCATGGTAAGACAGTGTTGGAGGCATGGAGGTCAAACAGAACTCCAATTGGATAGTGCCTGGAACCAGAATATGCAAAAAGGAAATAGCGTTACAAGGCCAAATCCTGTTGTACAGATCATCATCATCATCATGTCAGAGATGGACTTCAGTTTCCAGTCTGTTCAGATTTCCATCAGCTGATCTTAATCCAAGCCAGGAAAGTAGTGTTACTCCCATCACTGGCTAGAAAATGTGACCAGCCGCATTACATGTTGTGGTGTTGACAACAGCTTATCACCTCCAAATCAAACATTGTGTATCCATCCATTATCTATACTGCTTATTCCTGAATAGGGCTGTGTGGGGGTCAGGGGGCTGGAGCCAATCCTAGTTGACATTGGGTAAGAGGTGGGGTCCACCCTGGGCAGGTCGCCAGTCTATCACAGGGCTACACTGTGTATCTGTTCTGGAAAAATGTTATCTTAAATATATTAACAATTGTAAAAAAGAAAACACTTTTAATCTAACAACGGTTTGTTTAGAATAAATAATTAGTCATTTTAACTGTAACTTAAAATGCGCTTCATAGTGACAGGATACAAGTGGTGTTCATTTTTCCAGTTTTCTGTAGATGCAGTGTGGGAACTTCAGGAAACAGTTTACATTTGACTCTAACGTTTCTATTTGTGACTTCCTGTGTTTAGAATAGGAGCAGGGTGAACTATCATGTTTCAGCCAGCAGGGATTAGATGCTCTTCTTTATCACAGCCTCAAATCAACTGGGTGTATTTTAAAGGTATTTTAACGGTCAATCATATGCACTACCCATGTTGCTCACTTAGTTCCAATTGCCAGGAGGGAAACAGGCCAAACTACAAAATACCAAAACAAAGACAAACTCTCATTGCAGATTATCAGATCCTAAAAAGATGTGTCTAAACATTTAGTTTGTCAGAACCTCATAAATTTTACAATACCTTATAAAAATAAAAAACACAGCAAGTACGTTCCGGGTTCAAGCTGACCCGGTGCCTTTCTGTGTGGTGTTTGCATATTTTCACTGTGCCTGCATGGGTTCTCTCTAGGTACTCCGGCTTCTTCCCACAGTCTTATCTTGTTTACTTGTCTACTCATTGCCTTACAGAAGAACATTGCACATACACAGAGAGCCACTGTACCACAATCAATTTCCTCATGTCCAACACAGCTGGCCGATGATTCTGATTATTTTGAAATGTAAATGTAGTAAAGCAAAACAGCAGAACATTACATTTGAGAGTTCAAAACTAGTAAACATTAATATTTTTACATTAAGACAAATAATTAAGTGAATAACAACATTGATCTCTGTAGATTTTAATGTGTTTTACAGGAATTACTGGGACAATGATATTACTATAAACTGGGCACTTCTTTGTCTGTGTTGTAATGCTGGCACCTCATGGCTGAACTTTGTCCCTGCAGCCTGCTAATAGGCTCTCCTGCTGGTCTGTGGTCAGAGGAGCAATAAGAAACTAACTAGGTGCAGATTGTTAACACCAGCTGAGGCTTGTGATGGTTGTGAATGAATGAACCTACAGCGCCTGCTTCCTGGGGTTACCAGTGATGTGAATACACTGTTATAGTTCTGATTAGTTTTAACATTTGTTGAAGAATGTGCATCTTAACATGCAGGAGTACAACAGGCTGCACGCTACACAAAGAGGAAGGTATTTAGACTCCCAAGGAAAAAATTTGAGCACCTTGAGGAAACGTATATATTTTCCAACTTGCACCCAAATACAACATACATTTCCATTATCTGTAATTGTATTATGTGCAGGTTTGACAGGATGTGAGGGGTTGGCGCAAAAGCAATCCACTCATACCCAATCCATCAGTTCATCTAATGGATGTTCTCTCACCATTTCAGTGGTGTTCCTTCATACTCGAACCACATCTCCTCCACATCCTCAGTCTTCATCAGTTTGAGGAAGTGTTTCTTTACCTTGTCTGTAACCAGGGTCAGGTAGCTCACCCTGGGTAACAGCAGCTGGGAGAGCCAACGGGAGAGAGCAAGAGATGAGTTATTGGTATGTTACTGTGTGCCATGCTGCCAATGGGGGGTACATTTATAGTTCATATACAACTTGGAAGCCAAGTGTACTTTTACTCTCTCTTCTTATTCAGATCTCATTCCATAGATCAAAGCAGCAACAACAAGGGAGGAAAGACCCCCAAAAGTTAAACTGAATATTTAGAAACATATTCACCATATGTACCTGTGGAGACTTAGTATGTCTCAATGTCAGGGTAGATAATAATTCACTAAAGAACAAAGTATAAAGAACTGGGCCAGGAACTGAAACACATCTTGGTACAAAGTGAAAATCGCAGATTGGTTCTGCTGCAAGCTCCTTAACATGCGTTCTGTAGGTACTTTAACATTACATATAATTATTAGATGTATAACTCTACTGTACAGTGTAGTCCCTCTGTAGGTACCCCTGGTATAGAGTTTGTTTGGAACAATAAAGGATACCGTTTGCTTTGTGTCACCACACAAAAGGAAACTACTGCTGTGCAATTACTGCGAATTATGTTTACACTTTTTCATTCAGGTGGTTGAGAGCTGCATGATGAAGAACTGAAGGGTAAGTGATTTTGCTCAACAACAAACTCCATTACCATGAAAAACATAAGTTGACAAATCAATGTTTTTTCACTTTCGTTTATTACATGTTTTGAGGTGCACAGATACACTGTGACCACCAGAGCTGTGGGCATTAAATGCTGTTTGTATGCCACATCACACATTAATACACTACAGTAAGTTGTACTTGAGACCACACCTCTTTTTTTATATCAAAAATACATTTTAAGATTTAAGGATGTCAGGACTGCAACCCAGAGAAGCATGTCTTGAATGAAAAGCCCCTGCACTGATCAGTATGAGCAGTTATCAAACTGAGAAAAAGTGCACACAAAAGAATTGTTGTGATAAATAACGAACACCGCTAATGACACACTATTATTTTTAGTTATTTTTATGTATTATCCATAAACAATCCCATCAGTCTACATGTCATATGCAAACTCAGAGAACTGTTTCTCGCCCCCGACTTCCTGTTGTTGTTTTAACAAAATCATAGCTCAGCCTGTCCTGTAATGTAGAGGAGACCAAGTGGATTATTTAATATGTTATGTATGGATGTGTTGTTGTCCAGATATCCATATGTTTCTGTATGGAAGATGTTTTGACTGTAAATCATTTTCAGCTATAAATACTCTGCTGATGTAAAATACAATGTTTTGTGTTTTCCTAAACATTAAATTATCTGGTATTCATCCATAAACATCCATACATAATACTTTCAAATAAGGATCTAGGTTCAGAGGGGGCTTTCATGAAGCACGAAGGAGACTCTCTTAGTACAGGTGACAGGCAAAAACAAAAGTTACAATAAATCTGGGCTCAGGATCTGTGGCCATGTGAAGTCATGAGTCTAAGTGCACTTACATAGTAGGGCTCGGCCTCTCTCTCAGTGACCTCATCTTGGTTCAGAGTGAAGCAGGTGGGGATCCGGCCGAACCAAACGTCTCTCAACACATCTTTGTCATCTGCCATGCTGCTTCTGCTCCCAGTGGCACATAAAGCATAAATTCCCGAAACACAGACCTAGAAGTCCTAAGGCAGACGGTGTCTTGTTGTCAACAGCACGGCAGAGCAAACGGGCAAGCATTAACGAAACTTTCAGCAACACAGCCACAAAACCACCATGGAGCAGACACTGCAATATAAGCTAGTTCCACCTTTAAATAATTCAGCTTATGCAAGCCATATACAGTCTGTCTATCTTAATTCGTCAGCACTGTTATTACTATCTTATAAATCCAGCAGAAGGAAGCGACACACCTGCTACTACACTTCCAAACTATCTCCAAGCCTGTCAAACTACGCAGCTGTAATGCAAAAACTGACGTTAGCTTGAGAGCTATATAAGCTAACTTAGCTAGTAGAAAGAAGTGCTAGCACTAAGCGAATGTGTTTGCGTCTTGAGTATTGTTATTATTATCCACAAACAGCAATTTACTAGAAAAAGACAGTGATGTGTGAGAAATCTTACTTTTTGTCGATGTTTTACAGACAGCTTGAATGGAAGAAGGGCCGTAACTGTCGGCGTTGTCATGCCCCTGCTGTCACCAGGAAAACAGCTGAAACCCCTATTTACATCAAAACAGCGACTACTAGCGGCAGTGCCGTTTACTGCAATAACAACAAGAAAAACATTTAAACTAGAAATTTTTTAATTACTAACACGTATTAATTGATGGCACAGCTTAGCTAAAAACCCCACCCATTTAACGGGGGTTTAAAGCCTGTGGGTTATAGACATAAAGTCATGGTTATTTAAATGCAACCAATTCAATTGCGGACGCGTCATTTTTTGCGACGTCGCCTGGGAAGTACGTCAATATTTAGATGTTTTCCGGTTTGGTTTTGTTGTATTCGACAGCAAGTAACGTTAGAGACAAGGTGACAAAAATGAATACGGATAACCTGGAAATGCGTCTCCGGGGACTTGAAAGCCATATTTATGGCGATAGAAGAAACAAAAGTGGAAAACCTGTCAAGGTTCGTCTAAAATAATGTCAGTTCTAATGATAATAAAGCAGTCAGCTAGCTCTTAGCGTTGTAAAGCTAAAGAAAACCCTTTCATGGTGAATGCGTAAACGCCCTTTTTATTTTAAGCAAACTAACTCTAACTTACAGTGACTGCCCAGAATACTTTTTTTTAGAAGTTCTGACAGCTTGTCACTGCTGTTTAATACGGCGTTACGTTAGTAACAAATATACAACCGCTAGTCCAGCTATGTAGTACGTTTAGCTAATTAGCTCGGTGAAAGATTACCAAGTGGTTAACGTTAGCTAGCTGTCAATAGTGACGCTAAAACGGTGTTTATGCGCTTTAGCTAACCTGTAGCAAATAAACTGTGCATGTAAATTAGTCGCAAATATATAAACAAAGATATGAGATGTTTGTTTATTTTATTTACTTCAAATATTTGTTGCTGAAAAATAATAATATGGATGTGTTGACCGGGCAGGTAGAGGTACCCTGCTCATTAAACATAAACCAATCTCAGGTTTTGCTGTTGCATTTCACTGAAATTAATTGAAATCACTGGCTACCACATTTTTTTTCCAGTTTTAAACTATGAGATATGCTGTTATAGTATTTAATATTAGTAAGTAGCAGTTTTGTAACGAGAAGGTTAAAACGATGGCACTGTCGTTCACTTAAGAGGATATTTCTTGGCAGATGTTGTATGTGACCTTTAATGTAGATATACATATTTGGTATAGGTATAGATCATACACATTTGGAGTTACATGTCTCTTATTCTTCAGGCTCCATGTTTCAGCATATTCAGTTTGAAATAAAATACTTATAATAATTAATGCTACATTAAAGTGGAAAGTCTCAGTTTTAATTTGAGTAGATTTACATCAACATTGAGAGTGTGCGATACAGTAGAGACCTTATATAGTCTGCCAATTGTAAGGGTCCAGAGATTAGGGCTGTAGTCTGTAATTATGCATAAGCAAATAGCAGTGTTTGGCCTGCACAAATTATACATGCAATTTCACTACGTTGCTGCATACTGTACTGTTTCTGCTACACTAGAGCGTTTCTGTTGCTGCATAATACAGCATACTGAACAACATAGGCTACCCGGACACAGTAATGAAATAATTTCTGACTGTTTTGTGTTATTAGTAATTGCTAATACTAAATCTAATCAGTATGTTCTGTTCTGCAGTGTGCAGAGTCTTTGATCAGGATTCAGGCGGGTCTGACCAACATGGCCAATAAGAGAGAACGAGTAAAGATTCTTCACAAGAAGAGTGAGTCACTCTACAATGTGTCATCGCCAACAGTGTCGATTATGGGCTTTTTATAACTTGATTTATTTATTTCTGCATTTACAATCAGTTGCCAGGTTAATATGTATATTTAGCTAAAACTAAATTGTACTGCATTAGGCAACCTTCAATGATATAAATGGGTGGACAAAATAATAGATATGTAAATACCCATCACTATCACACAGTACAATTCAGCAGTTCACATACAATAGCCTCCAAATCAACAGTTCTGAAAGAGTTTGTTCAACCACTGAAGATTGTAAATGTTATGAAGGTGGTGTTTAGTGCAGGACTGTTGGGTTCTGTATCACCTAATGTCATTAAAATGTGTGCTTTCTGTAGTCAGATTTTAAACTTTGGTTATATTTATTGGTGTTGTGCAGTTGAGGATCTTCTGAAGTACCTGGACCCCCAGTTCACTGACCACATCACTGTCCCGGATGCTATGAAGCTGGAGTTCATTCTCGCTGGTAAGGAGCAGGAGGGATCTGGGATAGAAGAACAAATTCAAAAACAGCTATTTACAACTGAAATTTATCTAAGATTGCTTATTATAGGCTTTTATTATTTACTGTTTATGGCACCAAATGCTGTTTGTAATTCTAATGTTTAATGCCACACATGTAAAGTTCAGTGGTGTTATATTGCATGTAATCCAGTTACTTACTTAAAGAGCCCATGGCTGCTCATTTAGCTCATTTACAGCCATTTAATGTTTAATCTTGGGTACCTCTAGATTAGCTTTACACCCCTCATAACTCCAAATAGTCTGTAATTATTTCAGAATGTTAACAACAGAAAGCCTCCTCCTGAAAATGAGAGGATGGTTCACGAATGCACTTCTGTTGCCAGTTTTGTGTTGAAAGTGAACAGCACAATGAACAGCAACAGCATTATTTAATTAAAATTTCTCCTCCATAAATATGTCAACAACGGTATATGTACCGATGAAAAGAGATACGCAACACTCTAAACAAAGAACGTAATTGAGAAACCCCATATTTTAACAGGCATAATGCAGACATAGTAACTTAGTAACAGCCTTACAACAATTCTCTCTAACTTTACAGAGACTAGGCATTTACAGACATGCAACTTGTGTTGTTTTTTTTTTTAAACTTAATATTAAGTCCCACCGAGTCATGGAAATGTCACTCACTTTCAAGTAGCTCCAAGGTTGGTAAATCCAACTGGTGGTCGCTGCATCTTCCCCCACACGACCACATACGGTCCCAAAGTAGTGAAATTAATTCCAACAGGTAGCGTAGCGCTGACAATAACATCATGGATCATTAACCAGCAACACATCACATGCATCAGACACAGTGGCCTCAAGCAGTCAAAACAAACAGGTACTGTGCTCCAGGGGCAATGCTGGGGCTTTGCTGGTGGCTGCTTGTAGGTTAGACCTGGTTAGGTACAACGGTGAGTCCCTGTACAGGAACATTCCCGGACATGCATTAACATAAGGCTGTGTATATTTCTTCACGTCCTCTGGTCACAGTGCAGCAGCAGGAGGCAAAAATATATCCACAAAATGAGGTGAAGTTGAAAAATTCTGCTTTTGTATGTTTGTGTGCACAGAGGAAGACTTCCTGGTCTCCCAGGCTGCTTTGTTGGAGCAGGTCAGCAACTTGCAGCCACTGCTGGACAGCACCTACATCAGAGGTGAGTTTTACCTTGCAGGGCCCCATGCAAATCAAGAAGAAGGCAACATCTGCTCTGTGATTTTTATTACTAAAAGTAAAGAACGCATGCTGTAGTCCCTGTTTTTTAGTGCATCTGGCAATGATTTTGCTCATGATCAAGCTGCCATTTGGCAACATGTTGTCATGTTTTAGACTAAAATAAATGTAGAGTATGTTTATATGAATTTTAAGCATATTTATTCAGGGATGTAGTGTTTTGCATTGGCATTGTGTAGCTGCTGGAAGTGAAATGCTGCAGTACTATATGATTACCTCATTAGGTGCATGTTAATTGGGTGTCTGTTGCTCACAGATGTACCAGAACACGCCACCAAGCTGCAGCGCCTATCACAGATTCACATCAAACAGCAGGTAACCCCCCCTTTCTCTCTCTCTCTCCACCTGTCTTTGTCTGTTTCACTTTAGTTAGGTTTTATTTATTTGTTTTGTCTTTCAGGACCAAACTGAAGCTCAGTCCCAGGAAGTGAAGAAACTTTTTGAGAACTACAACAAAATGGTACACTTCTTTTTATTTATTTTATTTTATTTTTAGCTCTTAATAACAAACTACTGCTGCCAACGTCCACCCACTGATCGCTGAGTTTTGATTGGCAGATGTTCCTGCTGTCCAAGCAGTTCACCCAGTGGGATGAGACCCTGAGGAAGCTGGAGGAGGCCAGGGGCATCCGGCCTGCAGAGTAGTTACTGTCCACAGGCACGCTTGTGGTGAGGATGGTGATGATGAAGACTGCACTGTGGTGGGAGTGTTAGACCAGACAAGTGTTTCATATGTGGCTTGTTCTTCCCCACTAGGTCAGAATAACAATGAGACCAAAAGATAACCTTTCAGTTTTATTTTGACTAGTAATGTGTTTGTCATCAGAATCTAGTTAAATCAGGCAACATAACCTCGATGCCCCAACTGCCTCATTCCAGGATTTAGTTGTTTTTAGAAAAATGTCCAACACAGGTAGATCTGCCACTTATAACACAGTTGTTAAAATGAAAAATACAGAAGTGCAGTACTAGTACGCATGTCTTAGTTTTCTGCAGTAGTGGAGCAAAATGTAGTCCATATTAATAACAAGCAGGTAAACTCCCCTTTAAGAAGTGAACAAAGTATTTTTGTTGTATGTGGTACAATATCTGTAGTTGTCACCCAGCTAATGGTTGAGTTGCTATACTGTACAACCCATACACACTCATGTAGTAAAATTGGAATGTAAGGAGGCATTGGAATGTAAAATGTAGAGGAACTCAGTCTCATGTGACTCTTCATCAGTCTTCTGAAGAAACTGGCTCCCATCACGTGTCAAGATGCTGCTACTGCTATTTATTTTCAGAAAACAGCTATTTTATGCTCATATTCACTTGTGTCGCATTCCAACATTTCTTCTCTGTTGCAAGCCAGTGACTAGATATTTGTTCCACACACTCTATTAAAGGCTTCAGTTTTTCTCCTCTGGATGTCTCCTGACAAGAGGAGTTGTAGGGTACATCTCATGTCTCTTATAATATCATTTCTCTGTCCTGAGTTGTCAGTTGACCTCGACGTTGTTCCAGGCAACTGAGGACACAGTCTCTTATATTAGCTCTGAGGAGTGATGACTGAGGATGCACACGACCATCCTTCGTGAAAGTTTTTTGTGAACTGACAGGCACCTTTATCAGAAATCCATTGGCAATTGGATGCTTCAGATGAAGGATCTGAGTAAAGGACCTCACATGTTAACGTGTTTCCTCGAGTCCTCTCCTTGCATCTTACTCGAACAAGACACAAGTTAAAGACACGAGGGCTGCGATGGTGCTTATAAGACACTTGGGATGTACCCCATAGAATCATAAAACGCCTTCAATTTTCTGACCGATGCACTTATTTTAAAAGGTTATAAATGTCACATCTAACAAATAACATGACTGTACTTGATATAATAAATATTATTTGTTTCTTGGACTATTCCAGTGTGTGATATTTTTATATATGTATAACAGTTTGAAAAGGCAGATAAATTCAACATTCTGTGTCTGTTGATGCTCAGTGGCCTACTCGTTGACAGACTCTTTCTACAGTGTCCCTGAACACCACACTGAAGCCCCAAATGCTCACTCACCCAAAGTGCCATTGGATGAAAGCTTTGGAAGAGTGAGTACTTACTATGTTCCCGTGCGGCGTGCTCGTGTATACCGGCCGCGCGCACGTTTCAAATACCAATCAGCGTACGTTGCGCGACGAGCAGGTAAGATAATGTATGAAAACGCTGTGAAAGTAAAGTTTCCATGGTGCTAGCTATACTATCTGAACAGTGACTAATTCCTCCTGTAGAAGGATATCAGAAAATTCTTGTTTTTTCGAGGCAAAGAGAGGGAAGCAGAAAGGAGAGATGAGTTTGAGGGAGGTTAGACAAATGTTGACAAATGAGCTATAGCTAACGGACTTGCAGGTCTGTGTGAAACTGTGAACGGTCATTCAGCGCAGTGAGACAACTCCACACTTGGCTGAGGTGCACAATGGGCCAAGACAGGATTCACCATCGTGCTGTCTTATCAGTTGAGCAGGAAGAACTTTGTAAAGTGAGTGAGAGTCACGTTATTGACGGGGTTTGCCAAAATGAAGAATAGGCGCTACACTTCATTGCACAAAAAGGGAACCAACTTAACTGCTTAGACTTGGTGGACAAGACGCTTTAAGCTCCGTTTTGGTAGCATTCATGTGTGTATGCTACTTATTCTTTGAAAATGAAACATGACATCTGATAAAAATTAAACCACTTTTGTTCTGAGGGAGTACTTATTAATTATTCGTGTGTATAACTGTGTAATGTACAACTGTATGTATGTATGTATGTATGTATCTATCGGGGGGGGGGTTATCATCCATAGACTTGAGCAACTTATCAAGAGGGGTTACAAGTAGATATGGTCAAATATTTGGGCGCGGACACATCTCTACTCACCTACAGTATCTGAGAACAACCATCATAAAGATTGTCTATTGAAAAGACATTTCACTCAGTAGTATGGAACTGGCACACTTTTCAGTCTGCACAAGCGGGTGTTAGCCATCGTAGCTGATATGTTACTTCTCCAGCATTTTGGTCTCATTTTACATTCATGTGTTCTGGAAAACTATAACGTCCAGAACTTAAACGCTGGCTTTCACACAGTGTTATGTTCAAGTTCTAATTTGTTGGAAAGAATATAAACTTGGCACACGCAAAATCTGAAGGGTGTCATATCGGTGAACTAGTCCAGCTGTTTAATTTACTAATTGGCACACTTTCAGTCAGACACAAAGGGGGGTAATAAATGAGGTCAACTAGTGTGGGTAAGAATAAACACAGCTATGTTTCTTTTACCTGATTTTTGACACCTCAAATGGAATTGTGCGGCGGGGATTAGCCTACATATTATAGTCTATTGTATATCTCAGGTCTTTTTTGTTGTTGCTTTACAATATGATGTACTGATAACATTTTCGGTATTGTTTTCTGTTGAATGTATTCTTTCTTTCAAGCTAATACGATTATTCGGTTGGGGTTTAAACATCCTCAGAGTGGCTGGTCTTGTTTTTACATAGAGGATCTTTGGCTGCGGCGTCGCACCAGTAGGAATGCGCCTGTTGACAGAAGGCAGGACGAAACTCTCCGTGCGGCGGGCTGATCAGTGTAAGTGCTGCGTGCCGCCATGGATAAGACGGCCATGGTGAAGGTGGGAGCCGTGGCCAGCGCCAGCGTCTGTGCTCTCTTCGGTGGCATGGTTTTGGCTCAGTACATAGTTGCCAAGAACAAGCGAGCGGGAAAGAAAACCCGGATCATAGAGATGGTGAGTAAAACAGATTCTTCGGCTACGTCAAGATCAGATCTGAAACAGGAAGTGGAGTGGCCAGGTCTTCAAAATAAAAGTACAGTGTGTGTCTGCGCGGAAGATGGAGCATTTTTTTTTTCTGTAGTGATGTATCATAGGGCATTGTTAGGCAGACACGTGCAACATTTGGTGTGTGTGTAGGAGTGGGCCGCGCGGTCGGTGTGTTTTTCATTATTTTCATGTAGTAACTCGCATTACCTGTAACTAGTGATGTTTTTCATTCATTCATTTTCTACCGCTTAATCCCTGAACTGGTCGTTTTCGTTACCAACAATTTTCTTGATTAGTTGATCATTCCGTCCGTAAAACAGCAAACCATCAATCATTTTCTACCGCTTTATCTCTGAATGGGGTCACGGAGCCAATCCCGGCTGGCAATCGGGCGAAGGCGGACCCTGGGCAGGTCGCCAATCTATCATTAGGGCTAACACAGACGAACAACTACACACATTCCTATGGGCAAGAGACACCAATCAACCTAAGTAAGCTGCATCTCTTTGGACTGTGGGAGGAAGCCGGAGTACCCAGAGAGAACTCACGCAAGCACGGGGAGAACATGCAAACTCCACACAGAAACCCGAACCCGTAACCTTCTGGCTGTGAGGCAACGGTGCTAACCACTGCACCACCGTGCTGCCCGCAAACCATCATTTTTGTCTATAAAACCAAGAGTGAAAGGTGTTGTCTGTAATTCCCCAAAGCCTAAGATGACTTTTTAATATTGCGCTTTTTCTTCAGGCTACAGTCCAAAATCAGAAAAATTAAGCAGCAAATCAAAACATATCTAACCAGTTTTTTCTCGAAAAAAAACTCCTAAAACAATGAACTGATTATCAGAATAGTTACTGATGAATTTTCTCAGACTGGACTAACAGAATAATTGACTGATTCTTGCATCTGTAATTCCGATGCTATTAACCCTATAACCATGTAATAAAGTAATAACACGTTAAAACCTGTACTTTGCCCATCGTTGTACCATGTTATTGTACCATTAAATATGTGCATATCTGCACTTTGCTATGTATAATTACACGATAGAGTTATCTATCTATCTATAATCTGCAACAATTAATAGTTAAATTAATAAACAATTAATTGTCTAAGTAATTTTTCAAAGCAAACCAAAACTAAATTCTGGTTTCTTCCGGGTGATCACATGGGAGCATTTTCTGAGATGATTTGGTTGAGAAAATATTTACCAAATTAATCACTTTATTGATGAAAATACAGTAGTTGTCATTTGCAGCCCTAGTATGAGAAGAAGCTTTATATATTGTCATTGTAACATTCATTCATCTTCTATGTCGCTCAGTCCCAAACGGCGTTGCTGGAGCCAATCCCAACATGCAAACTCCGCACAGAAAGGTCGCGAACACACAACGTTCTGCTGTGAGGCAACACCACTGCAGCACTGCGCCACCGGCCGGTGCCCCGTCGTTGTAACACGTACAATGAAATTATTTTTGGAGCCAAGGGCCCCGGGCCACTGCGTGCATACACTCCGCTATCACGGGCAACCAGTGTCTTGCCCAAGAACACTTCGATATGTGGACTGCAGACCCCGAGATTCGAACCTTCAACCTTCCGGTTGGGAGACCACTGCTGTACCCACCTCAACACTGTCCCGATACATGTAGCGCCTTTATTCTGAAAAGTTGGATGGAACTATTCGAAGCGTCTTGACAGTTGTTGTACATGCTCTGCGCGTGTGCATTACAACATCTGTCGCTCACTAGGTATCGTTTTCTCCAAAAGATAGAGCTGGAGCTTTTTTGTCAGCTGCCTCGTATCAGTTCCGCTCTCTACAGCTTCTGTCTGCCCCTCAGGCTGTGGAAGATCATTGATGATAAATTAAAGCAAATCAAACACAGAAATAACGTGAAAAACAGTGCACACTGTTATTTGTATTTGCGTTTTATGTATGTGTTTACTGTTTCATAACAAAACATTAAAAGACAGTTATTGAGCCTTTAGTCTTAGAATTCACTGTCAGGTGAATTTTCCATTAAGTCAAATCACAACAGAAAACAAAGTGAATGGTCTTATACTTGTATAGCGCCTTTCTATGCTTTACAGCACACTCAAAGCGCTTTCACACTATTCACACTCCCAAACACACACATTCACACACCGGTGACATCACCGGGAGTACAGTGTCTTGCTCAAGGACACTTCGACATGTTGACTGGACAAGCCGGGAATCGAACCGCTAATCCTCCGGTTATGAAACGACCCGCTCTACCTCCTGAGCCACAGCCGCCCCAATCACCAGGTTCCTCTCCTTTTCAGAAACCAAAGAAAATGTAGGAATTTTGCACCACTGAAAGCAAGTCTACAGCGTGAAGATGTGTACTGTGTTGCGGTGTTGTCCAGCAGAAAGCAGCATAGCCCTGCTGCTGCCAGTCTTCCACAGCAAGCAGCTTTGTGCTGCTGCTGTCCAGCAGCCAGCAGGGACTACACTCGGCTTTCTAACCAGTCCAAACAGATTGCCTGTAGAAGTGTAACCAGGCCCCACGTTAAGTAATCTTTTGTTCAGTTAAACTGTTAATGAACTCTTCAGCACAACGTAGTGTGCACATGTATGTGCTTCAGTTGACCGGTTGGATGTTCAACCCTTTCATTACAGCTTGACCTCTGATAACGCTTCGCTACCCAGGTGAGGAAGCAATAGCAAACTGAGTGGAGTGTGTTTCACCTCTGTGACCTCTAGAGGGCAGAACAGAGCCACACTTTAACTGCAAGTCTGGAGTTGCTTTTGGAAAGATTGATTGATTTTATATTTGTGCATTCCAGCAATCAAACACTCCTCAGTGGATATTTGAATACAATAAAGCAACCTATAGTGTAATTATTTAGGTTTTGGTGAGTTTGGTTTCAGTTTTTAACGGATGCTGGTTCCTGTAGTTGAATTCTGCAGCAGATTAAGCTTCAGTTCTGGATTACCAAGAACATTAGAGGTGATTGCATTTAGTCCAGCTGAGGTGTACCTGTGACTTGACAAGTCTTTTAGTAACCAGGTAACACAGCTGATAGTGAGCTCTCCTCTGAAAACAAAGATGTTTGCCAAAAGGATGCCAAAGGTTTTACCAGTGAAAATTAAATTCACTGTTTTTACTGAGGGGGGGTTGTTTTCATGTGAGGTTACAGTGACAGTGGTGTTATAATTGGACATGAGGACAGTTCAGATGAAAGTTTGAATAAAAGTGACATGCGTTCCCTGATCAACCACAGAAGAAGGAGCTTCATTTTTTCGGTGTCTTAGAAAGCTGTGAATAAGGCTTGGCATTCATTCAACAACATGATCATACCTTGGCAAAATTCTTACCTCAGTATTATGAGTCACAGTTCATGCACTGAAGTAAAAAATAAATAAATACAACAAAATAGTCAGATTTTACCAAAAGCTCACAATGCTGGACATGAAATATACTGAACAGTAGCAGGGACATTTCTTTTTGCAGAGACTAATATATAAGATTTGCACAGTGTGACCAGCACTTCCTGTAGTGGCAATGCAGCTTTATCAGCAACAGCAGATGGCTGCCACCATGACATTCAGAGCAGTTCCCAGTATGGGTGGGGCCGTGGAAACTGGTGGATGGCCTCCGTGCAGTTAAATAATACTCAGGCCTGTCTTAACGTCATTGCTAGTGCTCACACAGGTTGATGGTTGGAACATCAGCTTATAACATCTTGTTCTGATTTTAAAAAATCCTCCCAAAGTCTCTGGGTCAATTTTGGAGGAACAACAGGAGAACAAATAGTAGTAACAGAAGTATAGAGTAGTGAAAATAGTCTAAATTGCAATAGTATCAGTGACATCGACAGTATAATGTATAGTTTGTTGTGCCACAAGTTACACCATAGTTAGTATTATATGTGGTAGTAAAAACATTAATAATAGTGCTGCAACATTGCAATAGCATTACTGAACATATACATAAGTAGTAGTAATAGTGGTTGCAGTAGTATCAATACTACTAGCATTAATAGTAAGATCAGGAGAATTATTAATAGTAAGAGACGTACTGGTGTCAAATGTAGAAAGGTAGTCACAATGGCAGTAATGGTGGTAACAAATACTGCAGTAATATCAACAGTAGCAGTAAGACCAGCAGTATTAGTAGTAGGAGATTTGAAGATGCAGTAGTAGTTGCATATACCACAGTACCTTTATTGTTGTTGGTACTAGAAATTGTGGCACTAGAAATACAGTTGTGTTTGAGGTCATGTCCAGAGATGAGCTCTAGCCCATCACTGGGTGGGGGTCTGACATTTGACCCCAGCAGACTGAGGTTGGGTCACATCTGCAGTCTGGGTTCACATGGGTCAGGGGGGAGTTCTGAGAAATGCTTTGAGGGATTTCAAAGTAAACCAACAAATAAACTCCTTACTTCTTATTTGTCATGTTTTGTTTGATCTGTTTTTCTGTGTGATGACTGACGTGAAGCCACCGGACTACTGACATCTACAGCAGGGGAAATAATGAAACCACTCAAAATGCTAATGTTACTTGGAACAACAGTGTGTTGTAATTACACAGAGCACTGACCTGACTGCACCTTTGGAATCACGTACAGACTGTAATGTTGTAAAGGTTTCCTCACTTGTGTGCTGAGGTTAGAGGTGAGGCATGTCAGCAGTGTGTGTCCTCGTTGAACCAGGGTGACTCTTGTCTAGTAGAGACCTGCCTTATGTTCTTGGAAATGAGAGCAGAGAGAAGAGTGGAGCTGGCTATCAGACAGGACTGAATTTGCTCTGACCTGAGTCTACTTTGTTTGTAGGCATCAGTCTAAGGATTAGACTTGACTTTTGGTTTTGTTTGCAGAAGATAATAATACAGCTACCGATAGTTAGGAGGTCAAGGCTCAAAAAAATAAACCCCGTCTGATTTGGTATGAAATACCCTATGGTTCTGGAAGGGGAATTTCTTACTTATAACCATATCAAATGCTGCTTCTGGGTAAAAGTATCAATTAAAACTTGATCAGACCCAATACTGAACTTATCAGGTGTCGCTCCTGCTGACATTCGAACCTCAACATGCAGAAGCTGCGTAAGACAAAGGCCACAGTGAAGTCATACAAAGCATCAGCTTCTCTGGTCCTGATGACACAGTTTTTGCATCAGGAGGGCTTTACACTTTTTCCCATTCACTCACACACGAGTGATATCACCAGGGGCATCTTGGGGTTCAGGGTCTTGCCCAAGGACAATTCAGCATGTGGACTGGAGAAGCCGGGGATCTAACCACCAACCCTACAGTTGGGCGACTGCCTACTCTACTTCCTGAGCCAGAGCCACTTCAGTAGCATTCCTCCAAACACTTTGTGAAATGGCCCCAGGTGATCAGCAGCAGGGACTCCGCCTTTACTGTGTTTCAGTTGTTGCCAGTTTGGTCATGCCGGTTTTTCCATCACTCTTTTTATGGCACAGTACAGTTAATGCCACAGCTATGCTTCACAACAAAACAAAGCTCTGTTGCTACTGTACACCAGACCACAGCCGTGAGCCTGGTGTACAGCAGGGACTGTTACTGTGGTGAGCTGTAATCGGAGGGAGTCGACCTGGTTCTGGGGAGTCGTGCTGCACGAGGGAGAGGATGAGGTGGACTCGTGTTCCAGCTCCAGCTTGCTCAGCAAAATCTAAGCTCAGAACAGCTGAGCTCAGTGTTGCACAAAGGTTCAGATGTTGCACAAATAGGTTTTTGTATTCTGGTTCACTGATTGTTGGAATGGAGCAACGTGTCAGCCTGAATCTGGTTTATTAAGACAGGTGAATTAAAGAGAGCCTTGCATCTCGTACCTGTGTGTCTCTGGGTTTTTCTTTCTTAACATTATTTTAGGACAGGAGCCAGTCAGTTGTCATTGGAGGTTACGTCATCTACCGGTGCCAGACAGAAGGATCATTTATCATTTAACCTGGAAGATGTGACAAAAAAAAATCTTTATCATGAACAACAGTCACATTCCTTGTGATATGTTTGTTCCCATCTAACATGTTTATCCTGATTAATCACAGCAAGACCAGGCTGAGGTTTTAATACCACTGGTTGTAGTGATTCTCAGTTTGTACTGAGTCAAGTATGTTTAAATGTCCATGTAATCAGATATTTGAGAATACGTCCCAAACACCCCAACCCTGCCTTTAATGAGGCCTCTCTCATCATACATTCTCATCCCAGGCCAGTTAACGTGTTAAAATATTTTCAGTTGGCTTTGTTGAAACATATTTCCACAAACATGTTTATGTACAGCTACATGAAATCACACAGCCAAAGTCTTGGCACCTTTATTCCAATTCAGGGTATTGTTGAGTTTATGTGGCGACTTTGCTTTTGTTGCCCAAGAAAAAATTAATTTGGTCCTGCACAATAATCAAAACAAACTAATAAAAGTATGAATCAAGTTAGAGAACAGTAAGCACTGTCACTGACAATTATAGTGACAATAACTACTGGACAGTGCTGAATATAAAAGGCTGTATAACAGTAGCACATGTTGAGACAATTCCTAGTCAGTGGATAGTGAAACTAGGTGTTGGTCAACCAACCTGTACCATTACCATTATCAACCAATACCATTAAGAATGAGACTGATACTGGTATTGATCTGACAGCATCTGACTCCACATTAACGCTTGGTCTGGGTCAGCTTAAATGAGATGCATTGGGGCTCCCGCCTTTTGGCCTCAGGACCCCTTTAACACAAGAACCCGATCACCCTGAATACTGATCCATGTGTGCGTGTGTGTGGAATGTCCATCAGCTGCGTGTGTGTTTGTGTGATTGACCACTGTAAGACCAAACTACCAGATACTCGCACTGAACCTTGACCTCGTGCCCTTTCATCTGATCTGATGTGTTTGTAGGGGATGTGCCTGTGTTGAGTTGTTAAAATGCGTGTGCTCAGCAGTGGTGGTGCTGAAGCGAGTCCAACCCCTCTGATTAAATTAAAAGGTCCCTCTTTCAAGGGGTCCAAGGTCACATTACTGGAACAAGGGTAGGTTGGAGACTTCTTGTCCACTGCTCCCATTGCTGCATGTGCTTGTGTTGACATGGGTCAGCTGAACGTGTCGCCTTGTGCGTGCGTGTGTATTTGTTTGTATTGTATGTATGCTTGTAATGTCTGTGTGTGTTTGAGGCTCTCTGTATGGGGGAGGGGCTATTTTGTCTAATCTAATTTGGGCAATGCCTCCTCCCTCCCTGACTCCCTGTAGATATATAAGCCTTCTGCAGCCACATAATCTTTTCCCCACTCTTGCTCTGTTTCAGACAGCAGACCCAAGGTAAGCTAGTGTGTTTTTGTGTATGTGTTGGTATACAGTTATCCTGTAGCCATCTTTGGTTCATGCTGACTGTAATAAATCACTCAGTGCTGTGACTTCTTGGTCAGAAGAAACAAAATCCTTCTGAATCTTCTCCTCTCCTGTGATTAGGATGTTTTAACCTTTGACCTCTGTATTTGCTGCTTTTAGTGTTAATCCATAAACTGAGGCTTTTTCCGAATTCTACTGTTGTTGCAACCTGCTTTCAATAAGAACACAGTGTTTGTAAAATTTTGTGAAATATAAACAATAGGCATAGAACTGGGACGCAGTACATCTGGCAGTATTACATTCATTAATACAGTTTTAAGCGTACGTAGTATAGTAGTACTTCATGTTTTCAGAATATTTGTTCATCAGAGAAGCAGGTTTGTATTTCTCTGCTGAAAGTGGAAACACCCTGTGACAACTGTGCTGCCTGTTTATGGGCTATTTGTTCTTAGAGTAGCACTTAAACAGGCCATTTGGGTCAGAGGCGTCCTATTCCAAACCTGTCGTTTAAAACAAAGACGAGGTTGTCGGTCAAAGAATTTCACTGTTTTCCTTCATTTCTGGCACACAAAGAAATTACTCAGTAGACATGAAGTGTTAGACAAGAGGAATTACTGGAACGAGGTTTTTATTTTTAGTTTATGCTCTGGGTGTCACGTTTCTGTGGGATCAGAGAGATTTCTGAAGTGCTCAGAAATCCGATGCCGATTATATAAGACCGGGGGAACACTGTGTTGGTTGTGGGTGTGTGTTTTGGTGGTGGAGAGGTTGTTGTGTGTAGTGTTTTAGTTATTCAGATGCTTGTCATCAACGCTGTATAATTCTGAGTAATTAATAAAAAGCAACATAATAGAAAAAATCATTAAAATTAAAGCACATATTGTAACTTTACTAAATGCTGATGTTACTGGTACATAATAGTGCCACACCCAGCTTAATATGCTCATTGCTTAGTCACCGAACAATAGGCATTGTATAACTCAAACTATGTTGTTGCTTAACAAGCTAATTTAGTGTCGAAACACAAACCCACAGTCAGTCCCTGCAGCGCTCCGTGTCAGACACGCTGAGCCTGCAAGCGGCTGCAGACAGACGCTGAGGTTGGACACAAGCTGAGTGGATTCACCGTGGTGTTTGTGACGCCACCAGTGTGCGACAGGCCCTGAAGTTCACCTCCTCTCTGCAGGGTGTTGCTGCTGCTGTTAGTGTGTTGGTTCAGCTTGTCATATAACACTGACACATTCCAAACATCAGATGTATGATGGAGTGTGTGTCTGGGTCAGGGAACACCATGTTCACATACAATGAAGAATTTTAATTTGACTCCTTATAGTAGTGTACACTCTGTGATTGTACAGCATGCCTGTGAGGTACATTCAAGACAGGGCATGTAGTCTTCATAAAAGAGCCTGGTAACTTTAGGCTAAAGCACCAAAGTCTTTATCTCTTAAAGCTGAAGAAGCATCAGTTCAAGGCATGAAACAGTCACACTGGCCAAGTACCATTCCT